GCTTAAAAAATCCTAAAAATTTAATTCAGTTGTCAACGATCGTACACTATGATCTCAAGATCGTCTAATACGATATGCAAAATTTAACCTGTTAGTATTATATGATCACCAATTAGTACAGTACAATCAGTTCAAATTTTCTTATTATTGGTGTATGATCATCAATATGAATAACCAATCATAATACGATTAGTTCAACTGAAATATAGTTCATCCAAGATGAATCATGGGACAACCAAATATCATATATGTTGATCGTATAGTGTGATCCCATTGTACAATACAATCAAAATATCAAAATTAAACATATTCAATTGATTAATCATAGGATTAAATTAGGCAATATTTTAAACATCATACACTATGAATATTGTGACTTTTCAAATTTATTTTTTTGTCTAATTTAATGAACGGAGGGGTTTCTAATTATAATAGATCATCCAGTACGATATGGTGTTTATATTATATGAATAATAATATTTTAAAATCATGTATTTAAAAAAATTTAAGTTCAGTTATACCAGATCATACAATAAAATCCATATCATACAATATGATATACAAAAAAAATTATTTAAAATTATTTTTGCTCCCCTTGTCTGTGTATTCACAGTCACCAAGCTAGCATACACCCTTACAAGATTTGAATCAAAAAATTAAAAATAAATAAATGAAAATTACAGACTCTTGTAGCATAACCTATTCTACCCCATCTTGAGTCATGAATCTTAAAATCATGGTGCATGTTGTACCTAAATATGCACTACAAATACTAGAAGAAATAAAGAGGAAATCAATAATATTTTATATCATCAAAATTATTAATTCGTGAGTCAAAGTTATAATAATCTTCCTATTTTTTATGATGGCAAATATTATTATTTGAATTTGTAAACTAAAAATATTTTTTCCTAATATCCCCCTTACTAATGGAATTATATTAAAAATAGGGAAAACATTTTTTTAAGACAAAAAAAAAAATTAAAATTAAATAACATAAAATTTTAAAAACTAAACCATAAATACAACCAATCATAATAAATTCTCCCCCTTTGACATTATCAAAAATAAAAGATAAAATAATACATAAAATTAAAATACATGCATAAAAAAAACATAAAGAAACAAAAACATGAATTTATGTTTAAAACTTAATAAAAATAAATAAATAATCACACAAAATACATAAACAAACCTTAACATATTTATACCTAATCAAAATTAACAATTAAATCCTTCATGATTTAGCATAAGTTTGTTACCTTATCATCTTGCTCATGTTTGTGATTTTGAAGCTGTGTCTGTCCAGGAGATCTTTTACTTCTTATCATTTATCTTTTTTGCATTTTTCTTATGTTTACCCTTTTTCTTTATATGATAAGTTTTTAAATTTGGGCATTCATATTTTAGATGTTCGGGTTTCCTACACCAAAAGAAAATAACGATAGAGAAAAATTTAACATTTTTACCATTTTTATATGTGCTCCACTTTTGTTGATGCTTATGGTTGTGCTTCTATAGACTTTTGAATTTACTTGTTATCAATGTTATTTTCTTACTCTCATCATGTATTAAGTCACATTCATCCATGTCTTTAGCTTTTAGCACTATAGTCTTCTCATCGCTTGCTTCCAAAATTCTTTGACTCACACTTTGCTCATAGGCAATGAGTGACTCGATTAGATTATCAATAGAATAAGCATTTAAATTTTTTGATTCATAAATAGTCAAGATTTAAGCATCAAATTTATTAAGTAGACAACCTAGAATTTTGTTAACATTTCCAAAGTTTGAATGTTCTCTACCTAAATCATGTAAAGATGTCACTATCTAAGTAAATCAGTATACATGTCTAAAATAGTCTCATAAGATTTCATACTAAAAAGTTCATAGTTATGTAGTAATAAATTTAACCTAGAATATTTGACTTTACTAGTACCTTCATATGTAATGCATAATCTATCACAAATATCCTTGCTAATTGTATAGGTTGAAACTTTCAAATAATCTTCAAAAGTTACAGCATAAAAAAAAAAATCAATGATTTAGCTATCAATTGAGCATAAATTTATTCTTCTCTACTCCATTCAGTAAACGAAATATTTGTTTTGAATCCTTTAATAATTTGTGACGATGCAGAATAGCCAGTTTGAATCATATGCCACATTCAAAAATATATTGATTGCAAGAAAGTAGACATGTGAATTTTCCAAATATTAAATAAAATACTATCAAATAATGGAGGACGAGTAATTGAGTAACCTTCTATGGTGTTCTTATTTCCAAAGTGAACCGTTGATCTTTTTTGTTTTCAAAATTTTTCTAAAACCTTATTTTTGAATCCCGCTCATATATCACTTGAACGTTCATGAAGATTGTTAGACCTTAAGGAACTCGCCTGAGGCACACTAATACTAAAGTAATACTATCACTTGATGCAAAATCTAGTACACTTATCAAAAATTATAAAGATTATGATGATAGTATAATCGATATAACGTAATATCAATCATAGATTTTTAACCAAGTAGTTATATCAAAAAAATATAATGCGAAAAAATAAAGTGCATAAAGTAAAAATTAAAATGAGCACACCAGATTTATAGTGATTTGATCAAACCATGACCTATGGCCACTCCCTGGAGTCCTCCTCTCCAGGTATTATACTAAACTCATTCGTGACTCTCCTTTATCCCCCACAACTAGGCAGAGAAGCCCTTACAAACACTCTTCCACCAACCTGGTGCGGTAGAGGACTATACTCATTTCACAAGCAGAGAACTTTGACTCCTTTTAACCCTCCTAGTGAGGATGAAAACTTGGACTCATTTTCACCCTCTTAATGAGACAGAGAACCTTGACTCATTTTCACCCTCCTAGTGAGATAGAGAACCTTGACTCTTTTTCACCCACCTGTATTTCAATTGTCAATTCAATCGTCAACGATCGTGTAGTATGATCTCAGGATCATCCAGTACGATGTTACGATCACCAGTTAGTACAGTACGATCAATTCAAATTTGCCTGTTAGTGGTGTACAATCATTAGTACGAATAACCAATCATACAATATGATTAGTTTAACCACAATATAGTTGTTCTAGGATGAATCATGGGACGACCAAATAACGTCTCTGTTGATCGTACAGTATGATCAAAATATCAAAATGAAGTAGATTCAATTGATTAATCATAGGATTAAACTAGGCAATATTTTAAACATAGTACAATACGACTAGGTTCGTATAGTATGAATAAAATAACTTTTCAAATTCAAGTTTTACCTAATTTAATGAGTATTCTAATTATAACAAATCATCCAATATGATGTGGTGTTCGTACTGTATGAATACTTATATTTTAAAATTATTTTATCTAGAAAAATAAAATATTTTAATTAATTTTTGTAACACCAGATCGTACAGTACGATCCATATCGTACAGTATAATGTATAAAAAATTAAAATATTTAAAATTATTTTCTCCCCCCTTGTGTGTGTTAGCACAATCACTAGGCTAGCATACACCCTTACAAGACTTGACTCAATAAATTAAAAATAAATAAATAAAAATTACAAACTCTTTCAACATAACATATTCTACCCAATCTTGAGTCTTGAATCTTCAAATCATGATGCATGTTGTACCTGAAATGTTAGTTAGCACTATAAATAAATTCAGGAGCCTTAGTTGCAACACTTGGGACTCGATGGCTATCTCTAAGGCATCTAGACTAGTATCAAATCCAAGATAAGATGATGTATTTAGGGATTAAGGGTTTGAATGGTCTCAACTAAAAATGAGGTTAACACGTCGCTTAAAGACATATAGGAATGCATAAAGGATTAAGCTTAATATGGCTATCAGGTGGTTAAGTCCTTTGGTTACCTTCTAGGAGAAGTCCTATAGGCAAACTCTTCTCTAATGTAAGAATGCATAAGATCTAAGGATCACCTGAATTGGCCTCCTACAAAAATTAGGTCAACAAATTTATTTTCGATTGGCTCAATCTTTAATATGCATTAACCTCCTTTGCTACTTCCTTCATAAGGCTCTTAGAAAATATATTTTTCAATACACAAATGTGCCAGCATGCACACACACACACACACATATAATAGATGTTGACTTCCACTGCTTGTTGTTGACCAATGCCAATGCTCATTCCCTTGCCTTATAATCTCATCTTTTTTAGTAGAAGTGTAAACTATTAGAATTCATGTTATATAGTGAGACTATTCAAATTAGCTAGTCCCTATGATTTTTCCTTTAGGCTTTTTCACGTAAAAAATTCTTTTACCTATTGTGAGCCACAATATACTTAATTGTGTATATAGTGAATTTTTATGTAACACTAAGACAACAAACACACTCTATAGAAAGTGTGATTAGATTTTATATTTATCTAATAATATTAAATGCTATGTCTTTGGTTCAATATTATTGTATTAAAAGATGCTACTATTTGAAGATTGTAAGGTGAAATATCTAAATGTTTGGACATCTCATGATGCTGAACAATTTTGACTAACGTCCAAATATTATTGAAGTGAAATAAAAGCAATTATAAATTTATAAATATCATCAAACCAAATAGCAAATATATTTTTAATAATATGGTATTACGTTAAGATGATAATAAACTAAGAAATGTTGATGTCCACCGCTCATCGCTGACCAATGGCCACACTCATTGTCCTGCCTTATAATCACACCTCTAAGAACAAAGAAATGCATTTTATTGTAAATTTCAATCCATAGAGTAAAACTACTTCAATGCGGCTAGTCCTTATAATTTTTTCCTTTCAGAATTTTCCACATAAAAAATCTTCTCTCATTCCAAATCCTTGCTTATTTTCCTCCACTTCTCCCCAGCAGAGTTGAATACAAAGAAGAAAACATTATCAAATGAAGCAAAAGAAGACCTTTTACCATACTAGTCGCTCGAGCGCAGTCCGAAAAAAAAAACCTGCAATAGCCTATATAAGCCTACAGAACAGATTTGCACAACTAAGAACTTGTGAAATTTCTGCAGTTCTGAAGCTTACAACAATACAACATAAAAAGCATCAAGGCCAATCTCCTAAGGTCTTTCCAACAAAACAAACAATCAAAAACTACAACTCAACTTAAAATTTCGCTTAAAACCCTGCTTAAATACATAAAAACTTGTGACTTTACATGCCACGACAAAGCCCACTCCCCAGCCTACACTAAAATATGTACTGCTTACACATGAAATACACATGTTCCTTCTGTTTCCTCTCAAGTTAGCATCTTAGTGAAATTGAGGGAAATATTTGAGGTCCTTTGATGGTTATAAACAGCACTGAATGCTTGCGCGCACACGCTCGAGAACCCTGTCATTGCCTGGAAGACATTGGGGAATCCTGTCTGAAGATTGTTCAGTGTCATTGCTCTAGTGATTCCAGAACTCTTCTCATACTTGGTCTTCTCTTCTTCTGCCTTTGTTTTCAAAGCATCCACCTTTGCTTTCTTCTCCATTACTGGTGATCTGCTTGCATTGTCCCCATAGCCTTCGGATGAGTAAGGGCCATACTTTCTCTCCAATGATCTGAGTTCTTTGGATCTCTTCTCCAGCTCTTTAAATGCAGAATCTGATCGCTTTTTCAGCTTGTGCTCCGCAGCTTGCTGTATGACAATAGCATGAATAACAGTTAAGAAGCTTTTAATCCCCTCAGAAGCAACCTTGTCAGGAACTCTGTCGAGGGCGAGCTGCCACTCCTCACAAAGACCATAAATTTCAGAGTTTTGGTGATTTCTATCAAGTGGGTCATGCTGGCACTGGAAAAGGGAGAGGCGAAGCCAGCCTGTGATTGCATGAATATAGTCTCTCTGCGACTTTATGAGGTTGCAGAAGGCGGAATACCAGTTTCCGATTTCGGCTTCTAGTTGTAGGGTGGCTTGTCGGTGGAGTTCAGATGTGGCAATGGTGCTTGATGGATTGTTTAGATACTGGAGTTGCTGCACAATGTGAGTTTGAACCTGATGGCATTCATACATGCCTCTCCACATGCACATCAAGCTGCAGTTTCCCAGAATTGGAAAAGGAATCTGTTATAAAAAAATTATCCATTGGTGTGTAAATGTCATTAAGGAACTCAAAGATCATTGGAAATGGTAAATGATGGTGATGTCTATATTTTACTTGGAAATTTTCATCTTACGTTCATAAATGATCATTGACAAAATGGTTTGAGATATAAGGTGAAGGACGGCATCGAAAAAAGGAATGTTATGGTGTTAAAATTAACTCAATCGCAATATACATTGCAAGTAATCAAAGAAACATTGCATGAGATATGAAATGCCTTAGAATATTCCCTAATTTGCTAATTGAGGAGTTGGGAAAAAATAATTCTTGAGATTTGTGAAGATGCTTGGATGATCTAAATCAATTTCATGTATGAAGGTTGGTCACCCTATTTAATCACATGATCTTGGGACTCGAAAAACTTCAGATTTCTAAACTATATATGATGACAACTTCTTGGGTCAAGATGTAATCTCTCATACTCAATATATGTGCCCTCATGAAGGTTGGTCATTCTATTTATTTAAAACTTAGCTAAAGCCTATAAAAAAGCCCCCAAAAAATCATACCCTCTTGCGCTCAAAAGCCGTAACAACTTCCTCTCAACTGCCTCGACCTTCAGCCCACCCCCATAGTAGTAGCCACCATCATCGTAGCCACCGACGGGGATCACTTGAAATATGCAGGCCACCACCATTTGCTCTAAAAATTTAAATATTACTCTTATTTTATGTTGATGACAAACATTTATGAAAGAGGAAGATAGATGAAGTAAATAAAAAAGTAGATTGGGAGGTATTGGACCCTATAGTATGAGGCAAGGGAGAGGCCAATTTGTTATGATGACTCAAATAAAAATTTATTTAGTAATGATAATACATATAATCTATGAGTCGTTGTCAATTATTTTAACTTTCTTTAGTAATTAAATGTAGATGATTAGAGAACTAAGAAAGAAGAAATTTAAGAGGTAGACTTAATGCTATATGATATGTTTAAGCAATTAATATATTTCATGTTGTTTTTCTCATGTAATACTTAAATTTCAATTCTATTTCACATAATTTATTACTTACCACTTTACATTTTTTTTATCTACAAACCCATCTGTCTTCCAAAATTTACCTCGGAACTTAGTTCGTTAAAACTCCCTCGCCGAATAAGAAAAGCGAGTGGAGGCTGAGGCTGAATTTTCGGAGCCCACAGTAAATTTGTTACTTCATTATTCAATAGAAAGTTAATATATCATCCTTTAACATATTATTTGGGTCTTATATAAAAAATCACTTTTAACTTTTATTTTTAACTTTAAGCAATTTTTAGATTTTAGGGTTTACGCCTCAAAATGCCTTAAGGCTTACGCCTCACCTCATGAATGAAAAACGCCTCAATACCCAATTACACAATTTTAAACCTTGAAGACAGGTTCTTTGGCTATAATGAGGCGAATAGAATTGGACACTGTGTTATTGAGAGTAATTTTGAGTGTAGCGACTTTAATTTGTCTCATATAATATTTGAATTTCAATTCTATTTCACATAATTTATTACTTACCACTTTACATTTTTTGTAATTTTTTGTTTCATATGTATGTAAATTTGTCACTTCATTATTCAATAGAAAGTTAATATATCATCATTTAACATATTATTTGGGTATTATATAAAAAATCAATTTTAACTTTTATTTTTAACTTTACGCAATTTTTAAATTTTAGGGTTTACGCCTCAAAATGACTTAAGGCTTACGCCTCACCTCATGAATGAAAAACGCCTCAGTACCCAATTGCGCAATTTTAAACCTTGAAGATAGGTTCTTTGGCTATAATGAGGTGAATAGAATTGGACACTGTGTTATTGAGAGTAATTTTGAGTGTAGCGACTTTAATTTTTCCTTCATCCATGTTGAAGCATTATATTTTGAGAAATAAGAGGATTAGCATCACAACTATGATAAAAATTCTATAACAAAGAGGATGCAAAAGTTGATGTGAATACTTATGGAGATGAATTGGATGAATCAATCTTTTGTTGCACAATTTCACCCAGAGATAAATCTCACCATTGTAGCATTAAAAGAGAGGAGACGACCATTTTGAAGATATAAAAACTTCACAATATCTACGCTTCCAATTTCAGTATATGTACTTTAACGTGCAATAAATATGCTTTAGAGATCTCGCATAGGTATCCAATTTAAGTGTCCTTTAGGTCTTATAAAATTGTGTGGTGCTCTACCCTTTGGTGCTTAAGAACATGAAATGCTCAACTAGTGGAGAATCTGTTGAGAAAATCAAAATTTTCGCCACATTATCAAGTAGGAAGGAAGAATTATTAATTATTTGATGCAACATTCATAGCATATGATTTGAGAAGCATTGCACTGAAAGTCTGAGGATGTTTTAAGACCTCAATGAACTAACCCGAGGTGCACCAAGAGGGAGGATGAATTGGTAATTTAAAAATTACTCAACAGAAATACTGATATTTTGTTTAGAAAAAAGAATTTAAAACTAATCCAAACAATTTACTTAAAATCATGCGGAAGAAATTGAGAATTTAAAATAATATTTAAATACATACAAATTTTTTTTGCAAGCCACAACATATTCTAATTGCAGCTGATTATAAATATTATAATTCGTGCAGTAAATTCAACTTGCAGATAATAGAAAAATACATCGCAGAAAAGTAAATATGAAAAGGAAAAGCACACCAAAAATTTTAATAGTTATTTGATCAACCTTGACCTACGTCCACTCCCTGGACTCCTCCGCTCCGAGTATTACACTAGTACTAAGTGACTCTCCTTTTGCCCCCAAAACAAAGAGGAGAAACCCATACAAAATCCCTTCCACCAATCCCTGGTGCAGCGGAGTACCAGAAGCTATGTCACCCTCCTGGTGACGATGTTGCGACATCGAACCTTCAATCTTTTTCTCCCTCCTGGAGAAGGCAGAGAACCTCAGCTCCATTTTCTCCCTCCTGAAAAAGGCAGAGAACCTCAACTCCTTTTTCTCCCTCCTGGAGAAGGCAGAATGGAACAACCATGTGAACTTCTCACTACTTCTCCCTCACACTCAAAATTTTCCTGGCTATTTTTTGTTCAGAGGAGATGTAACTGACATCCAAATTTTGTAAACCATTAGTGGCTTCTTTTAGTGGATCACATCATATCTCCTCTCCAATAGAAAAAGGCTTATTTAAGTTAAATTACATGAATCATGGTGTTTCTTAGATGTTTGATCTCTTTCTAAGTTGATTTATATCAAACCCTTATATGAAGCTAAATGATGATCATCATCTTTATCCATCATTTTGTTACTTGAGTTAGAAATCACATTTTAAAAAGAGGGTAAATATGCTCATAACTACTGATTTATCATATTGAGCACACAAACTCTATATAAATTAAAAATATTGTAGTGTCAAAATTATCTTTTCCTTCTAAGATGATGGATGAAGTACCAAAGATGTTCTTTCCCTTTTCTAACTACTCTACTCCTAGTGTGATCTAGGGGTGTAAACAAGTCGAGTCTAGTCCAGTTTATGCCTTATTGAGCTCGGCTCATAAGCAAGCTCGAATTCGAGCTTGTCCCACTGTAAACGAGCTGTCATAGGCGGAATTTATAAAACTTATGCAGGATTTAGAAGAAAAGATGCAATATTTAACATTTAAATAAAACTTAGGCGGTTTTTATTAATTTTTTTTAATATTTAAATTTAATAAATAAAATAAAATTATTTAAAAAATATTAATAATTATTCGAGCTGACTCGCAAGCTCACGAGCCAAGCCGGCTCAAGCTCGAACTCGAGCTCATTTACTAAACAAGCTAGCGTTTGAGCTCGAGCTCGACTCATGAGCTCAATAAGCTCGACTCATAAGCCCATAAACGAGTTGAGCTCAGGCCGACTCGACTCACTTACACCCCTAGTGTGATCCATTTCTCTTCTCTCCATCCAAACAAGTGCTTCTAGCAATTTCTTCTCTCGTAGGATTCCAAGAAATTTGATTTCCAATTTTCATTCATTACCAAGGTACACATCCCCTAAGGTTTAATGCGTTCAGGTTTCCCTAACATTGCTCATCACCGAAGCATATTCTTTTTCTCAACATCTTGTTTTTAAAGTACTCAAGGAGGCAACAAAAATCAGAGTATTGATAAAAAATTTCAAAGTATTGATCGAAAACTTCAAAGATTTTCAAATGACAATGCTATATGTTGATGAGTATAAAATTTTCTTAGGTATACGTCAATGTTAGGCTTCACTAATGCAATGCTAGATATGCATCACCAACTAGCATTACTATTTTTTTGCTTGCCATATGCTTTGCTTCATTAGTTTTTAGCAGTTCCTTCGATTAAGTTTTATGACAATGGCAGGGTTCCTTCGATTATGCTTCGTTTCTCTAGTTTCCTGTGCCATTAATATTTTTAGGAATAAGTGTACGATGATGATAGTTTATCACCATAGTGGGTCTTTCATGTGTATTCCAAGAACATATTCTGTAGAAGATTAACAATTTCAACGTAAATCCTACTTATTTGCTAGTTATAACTTTAGAAGAAATCTTCATTAAATTTTACAACATAGCTTCTTAGATAAAATATATAAAATATCATTATAAGCTCCCTATAACTAACAGAATTAGACGTCTTGCAAGTGACTCACAACAACTGGAGATAACTAAGTGGAATAAGAAAACAAAGCATATTAAAATATATACACTTAGTGGTGACGAAAAAATGTGAGAAAACATTCTTAAGCCTAATAATTCACCTAAAGTCAGCCAAAACCTATAGTCCATAGACTAATATATGGAGACGAATAGAGAAACCCATATAACAAAATTATGCTCGATGATGTTGAAAATATGCATGACATGGTTGTTGATATTCTCTCTGATGGGGCGGGGTTGTGGTTCTTAGATCACTGATGTAATCAATTACGGAATGTGAGACTCTTAAGATAATTATAAGAGTTAAAGTTAATTTGAAGGGTTTAATTTGAAGATGGGGAGAAGGCTTAAGGAGTTTCGGTAATAAGCCACAATTCATGTAATCTGCCCAAAAATTAAACTCCAACTTTCCAGCTTCTACCAAATGGACATCCTTCTCTAGATATTCAAATCCAATAAAATTGAGTTTTACTCACATATGAGAATATATAGTTTAAATCTAGAGAGTTTGTTTTGGTTTGGAGAGGTTTAAGTTGTTCAAATCCGCTCTAGAAGAAGAGTATGTGACCAAATAACCTTAAATCAAAAGGCGGGAATTAAAAATCTGGATTTAATCGAACTGGCTTGCAAGCCAACGTGCCAAGTTAGATCAAGCTCTAACTCGAGCTCATATATAATAAGAGGTATAACATGAGCTTAAATTCAACCTAGTAGCTCAGTAATCTGACTCGCCTGTTTGTTAGCAAGTCGAGCTCGAGCAGACTTAACTCTTACACTCCTAATGGTGCCTAGAACTAGAACGGAAGATGGGTAATATATCTAAAATAGGATATGATGGGGTGTAAATGAGTCGAGTCGAGTATCTGCCTACTTCTTATAGCTCGTAGTATAGGCTTGAGCTCAAAATCGTGGCTCGACAAACTCTACTCGTGAGCTCGTTAATGAGTGCGCTCGTTAATGAGTCAAACTCAAGCCAGCTCAGCTCACTTACGCCCCTAAAGGAAGAGCCTACATCATAAGTCAAACTTAATGATAATCCTTATATGGCGAAAAACCTAAAAAAATATGTCATTCAAATTTTGATGAGGGACTCGTTCATAATAATTTTAAGAATGACAAGGATGAGTTTGATTATAAAATATTGCACGTGAATGAGAATTTTGCACTAAGATGACAATTAAAGTTTCATAGTATTTATCATTTTAGATACTAGTGGAGTGGAATAAGGGAAGGAAATGGAAATTGTCATATAAATATTGAGAATGTTATGATTACATCTACATATAGGTTGTAGGTAGAAGATACATGCATCACCAACCCAAATTAAAACAAGTTTTCATTCAAACTTTGTCTAGTGAAAACCATAGTTGTAGGCAATATAACAACTATCTAATATATTAAAGGTACTTAGTCAAAAGATTCTTGAATATTTGCATTGTCGACCCAAATACTATAAGAAAAAAAAATAAACTTGCATATATTTTTTGTGCATAATCGATCAAAGGCAAATTTGTAAGGGGCATGTAACCCACACAATAAACCATCACAAAGTCTTAATTTTGCAACGGACAACTGCCAGTAGCAAAAAAAAAATTATAAGTTTGCAACACACTTGTGACATCTAATTTTCCATCGCAAAGTTGAAATAATTTTGCTACTAAATTTTTAGGTTCCAAATATGTTGCATATTTTATTCCTCAAATTTTTTGGCATTTGAGACTACCATTTTGACGATGATCTCACACTCATAATCCTCCTTGAGGTAATCTTGAGATCCAATATCTAATTGTTTAATCTTAGAACAATATCATAATTAAATTATGTTTAGTTAGATCAACTACAATCTAGATTGTTTAGGAGGAATATAAATTTGAGAGTGAAAACTCTATGGTTGTGTGCTTCATGGTCAAGTCCTCTTGGGTTGGTTGTTTGCATAGTGGCTAACCCCTCTTGGGTTCTTCTTGATGGAAGCCCAAGATATCTCTCTTATCTCTTGATGACCTCTCTCTCAACCTCTCCTGCTTCTTACCTAATATTTCTAATTGCATTTATAAGTTTTCTTCCCCTCTTATAGCAATTAAAAAAGATTAAAAAAAAAAAACCCAAAGCCTATTGCAAGGGGGCAAATAAATTTAGGGCACCCTTGACCTAATCATGCTCTTCCTCCAAACTCCTTGAATCTCAACCAATAACTACAGATCTGACCTATACACACCTCTCCAATATTTACAAGATTCCCCATCCTCAAAAATACCATTAAAACAATTCCCTAATTGCATCATGATCAATCAAGGTTAGCCAAAATCAGCCCAAACTAGACATCATGGCCTTATCTTAGCTTAGCCTCCATTACACACACCTAAACCTTTTAAATCTCCCCCAAAAAGTCGACATCACATTTCCTAACATTTCCCTAGAACTTTCAAAATGATTCATGCCCTAAATCCCTCTCCATGCCACTACCCTAACGGTAAATCCCTATGGGATAGTTATAAAATTAACTTGCCCAAAACTCTTGGTCAACAAGCTCTCTTTGTCCACACTATCAATAAAATTCCTCCAACCATCTAAAAGATGTTCCTCGAATCTTTACCCACCCACCAAAATAACTGGAAGCCTTAACCTCCCTAACTAGGTTAACTTTGGTATTCGAGCCAAAGCTAAAACCTCAGCAATTTAAGCACAAAGATCTCTTGAAGCTTCAACAGTTGACACTTGTGATTGGCGGATCTATCAACCACAAAGGGGTAATACTAATATTGGACTTGTTTAAGTTTCTAAATTTTTATTTAATAAAATCAAGGAGAAAGTTTGGGAAAATTGCATATTTATGGCAAGTCTACAATGTTGTGTGTTAGCTCCAACTAATTGCCTCTACCCGTAAAGCCTAGCCCTTTCCTATGTGTGAACCTCCCATTTTAACCTTATATTAAGTAAAATTCTTCACAAATGAGTGCTCCACAAACAAACTAGCAACCAACACTAAGTGTCAATCTATCTATAAAAGCTAGTATTATATTGCATTAGACTAAACTATAATTCATTGGAGGAAGATCATTTTGCAAAAACATTATGCTATTACTTGCCCAAACAATTCAGTGGAGTAAAATTTTTAGCATCTAACGAGCCTTGCCCTTGAACATCATGCCACCCAAGTCAATCATAAATCAAGTTGATCAAAATGATAAAAATCATTGATGGTAAGTGATATGAGAAACCAAATGTTTATTCAAAAGATTACAATCTAATTGACTGAGAGTAGGGGACAGATAAAGGAGTTAAATAACCTACCCATTTGAATTCAGAGGATGATAAACCTTAGTCAAATCTTAGGAAAAATCAGGCCCTTAAGAGATAACCTTTTTATGGAAATGAGAGGGACACCCACCGAAAAAGGCAGGTACCTCACTCCAAAGTCATGTTATTAAACTAAAACATCCGTTAACAATCCATTAAGTAGTCAATATACAGATGCAATTGCTGAAAAACACGTTCAAAAAAATGTTATTTTGAGATATCATTAAACAAAACAATGAACATCTACTAATAACATAACATTACAAAGAAAATATCAATAAGCCAAGCTTCCAGGTAATAAATAGAATTCACAGAATATAAAAGGTATATTACTAGGAATAATCAGCAAAATTTTCCAAAGGATCCTATTATTATCTAGGAGAGATATCTCTTCTATGGCATAATATCTATGTACAGCTTCCATCACCCCTAGTAATAGCTCTTCAAATTTAGGATGGTTACCAAATCAGTCAAAGCAAGCTCTACAGCTAAAAGCAGAGCCTTCTTAGCACATCCTACTTCATTCCATGCTGCACCACAGCTACTGAGCAGCACTGTAATCTGTTATTCTATATTCGTACTGCTACAAAATAATAAATATTAGTTGAACAACCACGCCCACCCCCCGGAGTAAATAAAGCCTCTCCTTTTTAGTTCTAAAGTCAAACTAAAGAATCACTGTCAAGTCTTTTACTCCATGGACCACCCATAAAACAACGGCTCTCCTTCTTTCTCTAACTAGAGGACAAAGAGAGAGGGGGCGGGAGAGAGAGAAAGAGAGAGAGAGGATTTACCCGTTAACAAGATCGAGGAGCTGAGGAAAGAGCTCGGCCTCTCTAAGCCTAACAATCTCCGTGGAGGTGGTCTCAATAGCTTGACAATAAACCATCAACTTGGACTCGAGCCTCTCAATCTCCCTCTTATTTTTCTGAACCTTGAAGAAATCCCCGCCATTAGCCTCTTGTCTTCTCAACAAACTCTGTCTCTTTTCTTTCTCTTGCCTAGTTCTTTCACAATTCTGCATCAGAAGCAAACATCATTAATCTGCAAAGCATTTTCACACATAAACCTCTCCATGTGACTTTATTTGTCTCGTCCTCCCATTAATGGGACCACAAACGAATATAAACAAAAAAAAAAAAGTGGCGTTACAGTGCAAAGCGGCGTTACAGTGCAAAGCGGTAAGTAAGAGAGTAACAAAACCATAGCATAGTATTATCGAAAGCAGTAGATGTGGGCAGTGTTTTTGCCAGTAGCCATGCACTGGCTCCACAAGCTCAACCAAAACCAAGAAGGACAATAAGAAAAGATGCAGAGCAGTAATTCATTGGCATCTAACAACAGAGTAAATAAACAAGGTTTACCAAATTAAACTAAGCAATGAATCATTATACCTTGACCTCAAGATAAAACTTTTTCTCCCAAGCATACAGCTTCTCGATCGTACAAGAATGGCTTACTCTACTCATCTCCTCCCGGGAATCCCTAAAACTAGATAAAGCTGCCGCCCTTGGGCTAGAGCTCCAGGAAAGAATCAACGGGTTAAAGCTTTTGCAATAACTAGACATTTTTCCTGCATTAAGAAGCGAACAGTAAAGTAAAAGCAACTATTTGCATTGAAAGAAGGATTGTGAGAAAGAAATAAGAACTTGCCGGAAATTCCATGGTTGGAAGCAGCAGAGCCACAACTAGAGGCTTCCAAAACAACGGAAACTTTCCTCCCGGTCTCGGAGGCTTTAACAAAGTACTCATCCAGCTCCTCAACTATCTCTGAGAAATTCTTCTTCCCCCTTGGAACAGTCACGACCGCAAGCTCGACGGCTGCATCCTTCGAGAATCCACTGATAACGCAAGGCGGCGGAGTGGTCGCCGGAGCGGCGTTGACTTCCGAGATAGTGGCACCTGCCTCCTCCCACTCTTCTTCAGTGACTGAATGGGAGGAGGGGGGGGCAAAAGGGTCCCAGAAGTCCCAGGCGGAGGAAGAGGGAGGGGGAGGAGGGGGCGGGGGAAGAATAGGAGAAGCAGTGACCGTTGAAGTCCAGCTGTCGGAGATGGGGCTCAAGGGAGGAGGAGGAGGCGGCGGCGGCGGAGGAGAAGCGTGGCGAGGAGGGGGAAGAGGTGGCGGCTGCGGCAAGGGAGATAGGACATGGAGATGGGCTTCGGCATTGGCGAACTGGAGAAGTGCGGCACCGGTTGAACGGAGGAAATGGAGGTAAAGAGAGTGAGCAGCGGCGAAAGCTTGTCGTCCCTCTGAAAGCTCACGCATGTAGCGCCGCCGCGCTTTGCAACGAGAAACTGCTTCCTTGCTCTGAAGACTCGAATGGCAGCTACCCATCTCTCCTTCCTCTGTACTCTACTCCTTGCACCCCTGTTTTTTATGGGGGATCAAAAAGTTTGAATTTTTTCCCAAATTTGGAGAAAAAACAGTTTAGCCACAGAAATCTAATAACCTCACTCAACAACCCAATCTGCTCTCTGGTCCTTCTCAGGAGTTGCTTTAGCCTTTGCCGATGTGAGGAATGTTAAAGGCCGGAGACGTGGTGGTGGGTTGGATACAGAGAAGCACGGCCATAGGAGGAACATGTTTTTATGCGTTGGGCAGTGTGCGTAGAGAACGCTTTTGGTGTACTTTACATTTTTACTCACTCCATTGTATTCAATTCATTTGAAGGGGTTAAGCGTTATGGGTGAACGTTAAGGGTAGAAAGGTAATTGTGATAAAATATTTTGAAATGTTAACGATTGGGATTTGGGAATGAGTTTAGTGCTTTTTAGGCTATTATTGCTACTAACACAATTCTTTTTCTTTTCTTTTTTTCTTTAATGGGGGTGTTTATTTGTTGTCATTTTCTTTAGAAGGTAGGCCTGCAAACGAACCGAGCCGAGCTAAATATGTGAGTGTTCATGTTTGTGTTCATTTAATATCAGCTTGTTCAAGTTTGGTTCATGTTTGTTCGAGCTTATTCACGAGTTCAAAATCGAACACGAATCGAGTTTTTATCGAGCTTAATGTCAAACTTGTTCACGAACTTTAAATGATGTTGTTCGCGAACATAAATGAGTCGAACGCATTAGTGTTCAAGTTTGTTTATTTAAGAATCGAGTATTTAAAATATTGTTCAAGTTTGTTTGTTTAGTTAATTAAACGATCGCAAAAGAGCTTTAATCGAACCAAACAACGAGTAGCTCGTCGAACGTTTGGTTCGCTTGCAGCCCTATTAGAAGGCGTTTGGTTGCGTAACTAATCTCTTAGTGAGCCTACCAACAATTAGCCCAATAGGTACATAACCCATAATTATTTTATAGCGAAATATGCCTTTTACAAACACATTTCGCTTTAAAATAAGTTGAATGAATTTTTAAGATATTTAGGCTAATTAAGTTAAACTCATATACATATTCTATATAGGTAAAACTAAAATTCAAATTTTTTTTAATTGGTTGTCAAAATTCTTAACCGACAAACAAAAATAAACTATATCAATAAATCAATTCCAATTTGATCTTCTTTTTCTAACGTAATGAGAAATTTGATTTAATATGTCGCATAATAGTATTATTTGGATAAACTCTCCTTTAAGATCAAATTATTCTTAATATATCCAAATCCTTCTCGAATTATATCTTTTCTCGAAACGCTAAGCAACACTATTCTCAGCTCCTCCAAACACTTGCAGTCAAGCACAGTGCTTATATCTCCTCCCTTCGTTGGAGATTTCCATGGACAGTAACATAAGAAGATCACAACAATAAACTTGAATTGGACAAAGTAGTTTACTCTGATTTTGATAGTTATGTGCAAGTTTTTGAAATCTTTCAATAATATTATAGGTATATGATCTAAATGATTCTATAATGATTCACATTCTTCACATTGACTTTAAGTAAGAGAACTGAGGTAATTCTAATGAAGTTCCAAATAAGATAGAGGATCGAAGCAATTTTTGAACTACGAACTAAAGTCATGACAAACACATTCTTGCAAGCATAGAGCATAGCAAATAAGAATGACACAATTATAACACATATTGTTGCATTGGATTCTAATTTAATTCTAATTTAAGAATTGATGAAATTGATGCTATGAATATACGAGACTAGATAGTGGTGGCTCATTGAATACTTAGTGCATCTAAAACTAATAAATGAGTGAAATTTATGGGTTCTTCATATATGTTGGGATTGAAATCAACAATTAATAATATTAAGAATACATGGATAATTCCTATCTCATAAGGGTTAACAGTTGAAAGTATATAATTTAATGATTGTTGATATAATGACCTCATGCATAGTAAAGTTGGGTAACTTTTACAAGAGTAAAGATAATTTGAAGAATAAATTATATTTATATGCTAAGAAGAAAACCTTTAATTGAAGTTAAAGAAATCGGATAATGATATATAATTAGCACAATAAACATGTTTGAGATTGGGAGCCATGTATCAAAACATGCTTGTTCTTTAGATATTCGATTCAATATTCATTGACATGCTCAATTATGATTTATTGAATATATAATCAATGAGAAATTCATTGGATGTGAAATTAATTTAAAGCCAAATATGATAATATCATGTATGAAGTGTGACTATGTTATTTATTTATCTTATGATAAAGTTTAAATATATATTGAGCAAGGTGTCACTTATGCAAGAGGTTCCTTTGAATCTTCTTTTTAAAATTCACAAATAGAGGTGTGAAAATGCTTAGGCGATAAAGGAATTTCTTTGCTTACTAAACTTTTCAATATTATTTTGATGACTAAAAAGATGTCATATGAGTTGAGAAAGAGTATGTTGATTCATATTTCTAAGAATAAATGTGGTGCACAAGAGTGTGCCAATTATAGAGGAATTAAGTTATTGTGTCATACTTTAAAAGTTTGGGAGAGAGTTAATGAGCATATGTTATGATGTGATATTAATATTTCTCAAATCAATTTTCTTTCATGCCGGGTAGGTCTACATTTGTTGCTGATCATATTCTTCCTATTAATAAGACTAGAGAGGGAGTTAAAAACAAACTTGAATTATGGAGGTCAAACTTAGATTTAAAAGTTTTTATTTGAGTAGATATAAAATTAAATACATGGAGTGTAATTTTATTAGTAATAGATCTAATATGGGGATTTTGAGTTTGGGTGATCAAGTCATTAATAAGAGTACACATTTTAGATATCTCGAGTCTATTGTCAAGAGTGATGGCGAAGTGGATGAATGCATCAGGCTTGTTGTGTGATAGAAAAGTACCCTCAAACTTAAGGAAAATTTCTATAAGGTGATCGTGAGGCCTGCAATGCTTTATGGCGCAGAATGTTTGCTATTAAAAAAGAAGCATGCAATTAAGTTAAATGTTGCAGAGATGAGGATACTTAGGTGGATAAGTGGCTTTACTCCTATAAATAGAAGGTGAAACAAGCATATACGTGAAAAGGTTGGAGTTGCTCCAATAGTATATAAGATTAGAGATAGTCTCCTTAGATTGTTTGGTCACATAAAACGTCAACCTTCATATGACCCGGTTATAAGAGTAGAAGTTTTATATTTGACCTATGTTAAAAGAGGGAGAGATAGACCTAAAAAGTCTTGGTTTAAAAAATATTAGAAATGGCCTTTTTTTATAAGATTTAAATAAGAATTTGACTCTTAACATAATACAATGGAGAAAAATGATTCATGTAGCCAATCTCATGTAGTGGGATAAAGACTTAATGTTGTTGTATATGATTATGTTAAATATGAAGAATCAGAGGATGATAATTAATCAATAGGTTGACACTTTAAAATTCTTCAATTATATTTGCTTCTCCTTAGGTGTTTGATTTCAAGGCATCAAAAGTTGTCATTTATTATTTAATGTCAATAAATCATTTATACATGTTAGATATGGGGTACATTGCTCATGGTAGTGGCTCAGGATCTAAATATTCAAATTATCCAATGTTATTTATATTTATCGACATAGAAAATAATAATTATTGATGCTTTTTGTGAATAAACATAAATATTTATTAAACTTGATAAAAAAACACAATATTTATTCTAAAAAAATTATAATATTAAAAATGCTTTATCCAAAATATTGTCGGACATTACCCATGGAGCTTACAATCATCATATTGTAATGAATATTATGATAAACTTTAAAAATGATAATTATCTTAGAAATATCATTTAACATCTAAAGCTAATACAAGCGTTGAATTTAATCAACAATGTAATTAAGTTTGAGGAAAACTAAGCTATTATTATTTATCGTGAGAATGAAATTAGCTTTGAGAGATATACTTGTAGTTTTCCTCTCATAAATAACACAATATGATTATAATTAATATTTTATATATTTTAAACAATATTACAAAGAGTACATATTCCAATGTAGTGATCATGTTGCAGAAATAGTTCTTTGAAAGATGCACTATCAATATGAATATAAATTCATTTTATCAAATAGAATTATAGAGCATTTAGCAAGCTCTCATTTAAGACTGCAATTTTAATTTTCTATCCAATTAACCAATTTGATTTTAATGTTCTTATTTAGCACATGGATCTACCAATTTGTACCTCTTATTATATGGATTCATGAAATATCTAGTTATACACCTCTTCTGCCTAGCCCCAATTCGTATTTGTGGTTTTTTATAAATGTTTCACCTTTCGAATTTTGTCTTGATTCGATGTAAATTTAATTATAGCGGGACACCCCATTAGGGTGTTTGATTTCTGATATTTTGAATGAGAATTTAGGTCAATACCCTTCTTAAAACTAGCTATCGAACATACAAAGTCCTTATATCTTTTTTTTTTTTGGAATTTGGCCAATAGCCGTGATGTTCTTTGCGAACACTAAAATCAATAGTATGAGCATAACGGTAGTACATATCATATGCTTCCTTCTCATAATTATAAACACATTGTGTACATGCCATAACTATTCAAATCGTTAAATCTAAGATTGTACATAGCTCAATTAAATAGTAATACATGACTTAATACATAGCTCAATACATAATAATACACAACTCAGTACACAAATAAATACACAACAATACACAATAATGCACAGCTCAATATACATACAAAGCAATACACAGCTAAATACATAGTAATACAAATCAATACACAACAGTACACAGTAATAACAGCTCAATACAAAATAATACACAACAAAACACATCTCAATACATAACAATATATAGTTAAAATAATAGTAGTATATAACAACACACAGGTAAAATATACAACAGTATACAAGTTAATACACATCAAAACATAGCTCAGTACACATCTATACACATAAAACATATAGCATTACACAACAATACACAAT